TCCAGGGTCTCAGGCAGAGGTCTTTCACATCACCTGTCTCCTGGGTCTTCTTAAACTGGAGGTGCCAGGGGTTGAACCTGGGACCTTCTGCACGCCAAGCAGAGGCTCCGCCACTGAGCCGCACTCCACCCCTTCCTTCACGGCACCTGCTGCTGGCAACACTTTCTTCCGCCTCGTGCCAGTCGCCCTGAGGCCCAACGGGTGTCTTCCCTCTGTGTCAGCCAGCTTGGTTATTAAATTCGGTGCCATCCCCACCCCCTCCTCCAGCCGCCGCATAACTAGTTTCACAATTCCAGGACAAAATCCTCCCACGCCGGTTAATGATACACCTTCCGACCTGGAATGCAGGGAAAATCCCAGGGGAACTAAATATAAACCAAAACATTGCCTTTTGGAGTTGATACGTCAAGAGAGGGGGGCGGATATACGGCACGCAGGATCACAGTCACAAGGAATCCTTCGCAACCCGTACGACGACGACACCTTTGCTGGCTCGCTTTGTTTTACCTCCTTCTTTCTCCTTTTGGCCGCTCCACCGTTGGGCTGAATGTGGAGGCTGAGGAATAAAGGTGGAACAGAGAGCTGTAATTAGAGAGAAACAATATGAAGCCACTCTCCAAGAACGGTGATTAGAACGGCATATGGAAAAGAATTAAAAAGTAGCAGGAGCAGCAAAAAAAAATAAAAATCCGATATAGGTCAGTGGCTGCAGGGTTTCAAAACCTGCTTATTATCCACCCTGCCAAAGCCCCACAAAACTGGATTCTATCTATATCGAATGCATCTATGTGTGTGTTTGTGTGGAGGCATACGTTCAGATTTACTGCCCAACCACCAAAGACTTCGGAAAGGTGAAAACCGTGGGCCTCCCCCCCTCCCCAAGCAGAACAGAATAAACTTTAATGAGTCTCATGGAACGCCCACCCCAGCCCAACCAGATATATCCTGCAAAGCTTTCAAGCAATTCTCAAGCTTAGATTTGGCAGTTGTCTAGTGGGAGGGAGTTCCATAGTTTAAGCAAAAGGGCTTGCCTGGCAGAGAGAAAAGAAGAAGAGAAGAGATTGGATTTACACCCTGCCCTTCACTACCCAAAAGGGGTCTCAGAGCAGCTTACAAACTCCTCTCCCTTCCCCTCCCCACAACAGACACCCTGTGAGGTCGGTGGGGCTGAGAGAGCTCTGACAGAAACTGCTCTTTTTCAAGAACAGCTGTGCCAGAACTATGCCTTGCCCAAGGTCATCCAGCAGGTGCAAGTGGAGGAGTGGGGAATCAAACCCGGTTCTCTTAGATTAGAGTCCGCACACTTAACCACTACAACAAACTGGCTCTCAGGGGGCGTGGCTCCGTGATAGAGCATCCGCTTGGCATGCAGAAGCAGAGGTCATTTCAGGGGGATTGCAGTTCCCCCGGGTGAGGTACGGGGCGGGGCACATGACGAAGCCCCGCCCCCTGCTTCCGGCTGCCCCGGTTCCGGCCCTCATTCAGCCAGGAGAAGGCAGGAGAAGAGGGAGGGTAAGTTGCTTCCTC